CTTGTGGCTGGAGTTGGGCTTTAAGTAAATAGATTTTTGGGAATCTGTTACAATGTTTCTTCCCTGGAGATCCGACAGTGACAGCACTTCCTGTTGCAGGGGTAACAACGCTAAACGACGCGCTTGCAATTCGCAGCCTTCTCTTGGCCGTTTGGTTGCCAATCTGACAGGAAGCCCGATGGGACAACTGAAGGGACACATGGCAGGCTGACCACACAGCCGAGAATGGTGAGGCCGTAGCTTAGCGTTGTCACCCTACAACTGGAAGTGCTGTCTCCGTCGCATCCCCAGGGAAGAAACATTGTAACAGATTCGGAGAGATGATGCCGGACATAATGAAGAAGAGATTTCGGGTTTACAGAGAATTCGACATTCTGGAGAAATGTGTGTGATAAAAAATCTCTCTTCAGAACTGGTTCCTCCGAACGTCTCGCAGTTGCCCCGGCTGGATGTAGGTCACACGGCCGCAGCTCCTCCAGAGCGGAGATGGTCGCCGCCGGCGCCCTCTCTCTGGCCGCGGGGGTCACACGGACGCTGCCAGCGGAATGATCTCCAAGTCTTTGTCTTCCGATTCTTCCTCTCCGGAATACCAGAGGGGCTGAGCGGGCCCATTAGTCACCGGATCACTTCCCGGGAACAAAAGACCTTTCCCAGGGACACTCGGCTCCTCCGATGGAGCCGTGTATATAATCCTCCAATACAAACACGAGCACCTCAAAGCTGAATGTTCTTATATTTCTCCGTCCCGGAGGCGGAGCTCCATCTGACTTGCTGCAGCTTCTAATGCACGTTGTGAGAAGTTCCCAGTGTGCAGGAGAGGAGCCGGGACAACTGTGCACAGCAATGGATAAATGTGTCCAGCAGTGAAAGGTTAATACAGAGAAAGCTTCGGTGTCATCAGTGACAGAGAGAAGGGCGACCTCTAGTGGACACATCGTACATTACACCTTCCCATGTAAAGTCTATGTATCGGTGACAACAGCCTCCAGGACAAATAAGGTGAAAAACCTTAATAACTTTTTCCCCTTAAGATCCAACAATTCAATTATACAGACGACCCCCCCATTGTATGCCCGCTGACTTTTCCAGTGTAGTCTCCCCTAGATTTCTGATAAGGTGGCCATACACTTTTGCGATGGTTGTAAAGTAATTTTTTTGAAAAAAACGTACGATCTGCCCATCTTGGACAGGCAGATCGTACTTGCGATCACACACCGGCCCGTTCGGCATTTGTCTCCCGAGCACCGCTCAAACCAGCCGAAAATCGCACGATTCTCGGCTGGTTTTCTAGCGTGCTCCTTAGACAAAAGACGTGCGACCGTACAGTAGAAACGGTCGCACGTCTTCGTTCACACTGCAAGATTCTCGTACGAAGAATCGAGCAGTGTATGGGCACCTATAGGGGAGTGAGCATTGCTGAAAGGTCACATGGCAGACTCCTTGTGGCTGTAGAGGTACGGTACCGTCCCAGATGTCACTCAAAGCCCTTGGAGACAGAGCAGGGGAGGGGCCAGAGATGCCCGGAGGCTGAGAGTACGCAGGGCCGGATTTACTCTCTCTGCGGCACCAATGCAACACACTACCCCCCCCATGTAGAAGGGCAGACCAGCAGGTTGCATACAATGTCACCGGGATCACGTGTACAAAAGCGGCGGCTTCCCCGCTGTATATTTATCTCTGCTTGCCCAAAGCCCGGCTAAGTGTAGACAACAACTACCCGCCCGGCAGCCAGAACTACATGTCGCGGGCGTCGGGAGATAGAAATTCCACACCCCTGCCGCCCCTCTCCTCCCTGCTGCCCCTCGGCCGGGCCTTGGTTGGCCTTGTGGGAAATCCGGCTACACTGGGGCTCCAGGGATTCCTGCACGGCAACGTAGCCACCCCAAAATTAGAAACGCAGGACGGAAAACTGCACAGCTGCGAAGGAGGAAGATGAGGAATGCGGCAGATTTATTATTTTTTTAATAAGACTTTATTAACACTTTACAAAAGTCCTG